ATGCCTGGCTTTGACTTGTTCTTTTAAATACTGATTTTGCTGTAGTGGAATATCAGTTTAAGATGTGTGACATCCACTTACGCCATGGAATATTTGTTTAATGATGCAAAGATGTGTTACATTCTTTTATGTTGCATTTGTTTACCTCTGTATAACTGTGTTACTTTGCTTGTCTAAAACACTTGACTGGTCTAATAAAGAGCTGAACGGATAATAGCGAGGCAGGAGAAAAAAATAGGGGGGCCTGGCAGGAGAGAGAATAAATAGTAGGAGAAATCTAGGCTAGAGAAAGAGCAAGCAAGGATTGAGAAAAGGAGGGCGGACGATGCCAGGGCAGCCACACAGCCAGCCACGGATATAGCCTCTATTATTGCCTCTATTATTTTAAAGTATGATCCAACCCATCTATTCCTAACATCTCCAGGACAAAGGCATGTTGAATTTTAACAAAGCCTCTATTATTTTAAAGTATGATCCAAACCATCTATTCCTAACATCTCCAGGACAAAGGCATGTTGAATTTTAACAAAGCCTTTTTGACATTGTGTGGTTTCTGCCTTTAAGTTTGTTTACATAGTATTACATTTTTGATTATCTATGTTGAGCTAAACTTGTCTCTCCAGAATGAAGCCTAGTTGTTCATAATGTATGATCTTAATGTGTTCCTAAATTTCGTTTCTGAGTTTTTTTAAATAAAAGATTTTTATTATGTACACAGTGTTCTGCCTGCATGTATGCTGGCATGCCAGAAGATGGCACCAGATCTCACAACAGATGGTTGTGAGCCACCATGTGGTTGCTGGGATTTGAACTCGGGACCTGTGGAAGACCAACTCATGTTCTTACCAAATGAACCATCTCTCCAGACCCTAATTTGCAAGGATTTTGTTGAAATTTTTTGTCTATAGTCATTAAAAATAAAAAATTAGTCTGTAGTTTTCTTTTTAGTTGTTATGCTTTTACCTGGTTTTGGTATGAAACGTTCTTTCCGTTTCTATTTTGTGGAGCAAGTTATTAATTGGTATGAGATCTTCCTTGAAAGTTTTATAGAATTCAGTAGTGAAGACAAGAGCCAATCACATGGTGTCTCCTGAAACACATTCAGCTAGCAAAGGAAAAAAAAAATATCAAAAAACCAAAAAGAATTTACCAAGCAAATATCAGGTAAATGTCATACCAAAGCTAATTAGAAAATATAAAAGGGGTACTTGAGAGATGGCTCAGAGGTTAAGGGCACTGACTGCACTCCCAGAGGTCCTGAGTTCAATTCCCAGCAACCACATGGTGGCTCACAACCATCTCTAGTAGGGTCTGATACTCTCTTCTGTCATGCACTTATATTCATAAATAAATATGAGAGAAGAAAATATAAAAAGGGATACCACATTATTATGAAGGGAATATTTATACACTGGATATTGGAGTCCCTAATTCATAAAACACATTCATTTGAGGCATACAATGTTTCATAGGTCCTCACACAGGAATAGGGGTGGCTTGAATACCCTACTCTTATATTTAGATAGCTCTCCCAAATTAAAACTAAGCAAATAAACACCAGAACTAAAATACATTATGGAACAACTAGACAGATTATATATGCAGAACATTCAAACAGATATTGAATACACTTTTTTTTTTATCTCATTGGAATTTGAAACCTCCTCCAAAACTATTATCACAGGACACAAAGACTCACTCATGACAACAAAATCAAGATTATACATTTTGAACAGTTAATCATCAAAGAAAGTTAAAAAAAAAAGGGGGGGGGAAGAGAAATGAATATGACACAGCCTGTTGGAACTCTGGAACACAGCTACTGACAGCGTTCCTAAGATTATAGTAACAAGAGTTTAAAGTAATTTGAGAGCTGACTGTGAGATGGCTGCTCTTCTAGAGCACCTGGGTTAATTGCCCAGCATCCACTTGGTGCCTTGCAACTGTTTGGATGCCCTCTACTGGCTCCAGATGGGAGGGCACCAGGCGCACACAGGGTACTACAGTTAATCAAGACATTTATCTGACTTGGTTTTTGAGAAAGGGTCTTGCTATTTAGCTCAGCTGACAATTCTCAGTGACGATCATAATTCTGAAGCACTACATATCTATCGATAACAACTCTGCTATTGCTTCTATTTTCAGTGATGATAGACTATGACAAGTACTTAAAATAGTTGAGCACCTGGGTACTTATTTATTCCCAGAACTAGGGAGAGGCAGGTGGATGTCTGTGGCTTCAATGCCAGCCTGGTGGTCTACATAGTTTCAGGACAGCCAGGGCTATGTAGAGACCCTATCTCAAAAAAGCAAAACAAACGGAAAAGAGTAAAACCAACAGTTTAATAGAGGGTAGAGATAGGATGGCCAAGGTTATCCTTAGTTACAAAGATACAAAGGCATTCACACTCTCCTTTCCCCCAGTGGTCAACTTTTTCCACTGTCTATGTCTATTCAAACTCTGAACC